TCTCTGTAGCTTTCCTGGGGACAGATTATGGTAGCCAGGCTCCTCCTGACGTAAAGTGTTTCTCTGGTTTTCTAGTAACCTATCAAAACTTAACCAGCAGAGTGTATCAACCTATGTCTCGGATAACCTCTGGGAGAGGAAAATTACTAGAAGTGAATTTAAGTTTAGATTTATATAAATGAGCAGACAATCACGGATGTGTGTATATGTATATATATATATATGAACACACACATATTATATATATACACACCCACACACATCCCTTTCTTCATGCTTTCTATATAAGGAAATAATACACATATATTTTCTTATAATGTCAGTGGCTGCAACTGTTAACACAGGATATTCCTTAGAAAACAAACAAACAACGAACCAAAACTTATTTTAGTGAACTTTATTTTTAAGACTAATGATTTTCTTGTAGAATTCTTTTTTTCTGCCTAGGTACTTTTTTCCCTCCTTGAATGGCATATTTGCAAGTACAATTTCATCTGCACTGAGGAACAATAGCTTTCAGTTGCACAAAGGATTTCTCCCACCCTGAATCCAAACCACAATGCCTCTTGCTCTGATAATAGCTTCTGAAAAGATTTTGTAATGCACAGAATTAATACATGATTATTTCCGCCTCACTTCTCTCATTTATTAGATTCTATAGTGAATTCTAAATTAAAAATAGCACCTCTTGAGTTTCTTAACGTTCTAATATTTTGAAACAAATCATACTCTGAAGTTCCTCTTTTTGCCCATATTTACTAAGAAATCTTAATTTTTTATTATTGTTCAGAAACAGAACTGTGTAATATAAATGTAAAAATTGAAGCATGCAGAAATTGAAAAAAGTAAAATGTTGAGTTGTTTAAAAATTAATTGTAGTGATTTTTCCATTGCTAACTGGAAGAATGGTCAGGTGCAGTAACCGGCAAATTGGGGTTTAAATCTTTTTAAATTTATGAAGCAAAACAAAACCTCAACTTCAGCTACAGTTTTGCAAGGACCAGAATCATGCCCTGTGTCCTAAAGTAAATAATGAAGTGTAATTCTGCTGAGGCATCTGGATGGTGAGCTTCTACATCACTGCATGGGGAGCTCCTCTGCTCTTACAAAGACTTTCTCCCACACTTCCAGCATAGGTGTGAGAACTTATTTACATGAAAGCGTACATTAAATATTTACTGACATTTGCCTGGAATTCGTTTGAAATGTCGACTGTTCTGCTGCATCATGGGATGACACCGCGGAACGGGATGCTGCTCTTTGATTAGAACAGTGATTTGTGACTCCAGTGTTATGGCTGCTCTAGTTAATGACTCACTTTTGGGTGTATATAAAATGTGTTCTGTCGAGGGACCAGGAAAGCCTACATGAGATCAGACCCTAAGCATTTTCTTTCCTCTTAAAAAACACACAGACTCTCACAGAAAGAGTGTACTTCAAGTAAACACTGTGTGTGTTAGGTGTACTGTTGTTCTTTGCCTTCTAGCATTTAAGCTAGGTCAGACTGTTTCAAAGCAAGACTGGATGAACACCTCCAAAGCCTCTTCATTCAGATTCACTTTCTAAGCCATTCATTTAGGAATTAGTTGTTTTTCCTTCATTGGGACTTAATTGATATTCCACACTTTTCAAAGGAGAAAATCATTCAGAGGAATGTCAATATATTCTGTTATGTGAAGTTTAAAAAATGCATAGTTACATGGAGCTGAGTTTAATATTTAATTGCGTGTAATTTATGTGTCTATTTATTTGTTAAGCCTTGGGTGGGGAGGTAATTTGTTTTTCTTGTTATGCAACAGCTATTGTTCCCCTTCCACCCCAGGCACACGCACCATGGCACATGCACCATGGCAGCCCCAACCAGCACAGGGAGAGGTGTTCTGCTTTAAAAGACATCCGACTGTAAATGTCAAATTCATAAATATTTAAACACTTTTCTTTCAATTTCAAGTCAAGGCTGACAGGACGCCTCTAATTAACCCTGGGCTCCGTTTCAGGCTGGGGCCTTATTGCAGGGAAGAATCAGGGGGTTAGGCGAGGTGGGGAAATCTGTGCTCCTGGCTAGAGGCAGCGGGGGCGGCTGGGGGAGAGAGGTGGGAGGAGGGAGGGAGCTGGTAACTAACACGTCGGATTAATTTTTACCCGTTTCATAATGCGATGTTTGGTCAGGCATCGAGCGGGATGAAAGGGCAGCGGGTTCCTCCAACCGCCGTGGGTACAGTGGGGGCTCTGTCCTGATGGGATGTACCTGGGGGGACCGGGCCGGGCTACCCTTTGCGGTTGCGGGTGTTCCCAGCCCGGGGCCCGGGGATGCCGCTGATGCGGAGTTGGAGCCGGAGCCGGGCGATGGGACTTTGCCGTCGGCCGCACCCGGCGGCTCCTGCGGGACGGCGCAAGGGGCATCAGCAGCTCGTTCCGCGGTGTTTCCCGGGGCGGCGTGGGGGCTGGCCGAGGTGGTCCGAAGCACCAGCCCCCCCGCAGGCAGGGAGGGGAGAGCGGAGTCTTCCTACGGCCGCGACTCTGGAGCTGGTCCCCGTGGGGCGGGAGGAAGGAAAGGAGTGGGACAAGGGCCGGCGGAGAGCCCCTCTCCCTTCCCCTTCGACTGCTCGGATGCGGCAGGCGCCGGCGGGCAGCGAGGAGCGGCCGTGCCCCCTGGCCCTTCGCCCCTGCCCTCCCGCCGCGGGGCCTCCATCTCCTCCCGGGGCACGGGGGCCGGAGCAGGCGTGGGCACCGCTCCCCCTGGACGTGCAGGGGCTTTGCAAGCCCTCGCCTGCCCGAAGTCTGTCACAAGGGACGCGGCTCCGCTGACTCCCCCAGGGCAGACGCTTGCCGAGGTGTAAGCAATGCCGAGCACCCCACGGAAGGTTTCTAACTCTTCCCCGTGTTTCAGGCTCCCGAGTGCAGCTGCACGCTGAGAATACGTAGCGGGGGGCTCTTCGAACAATTCTTTTGTCGAGGGCAGCCAGCTCCGGGGACGGCAGCCCCGGCTTTGCGAGGAAAACTGCCTGGCGAACTTGGAAGCAACATCTAAAATCGCTCTAACTCCAGTGGGAGAAAGAGCCTGCCGCCTTTTCCCTTCTGCATGTTTACTCGGAGCTTTTGACAGCACTTTGCTCTTATCATTGTCATCGTTTCTCTCGCATAGCCCTTTCGCCGTGTGCTTGGTGCGGCTCAGTCACACGGCATCCGGAGAAAGAAAATCGTTTAAAACCGTGGTAGAGATAGCAGAGAAGAAAGGCTCAGGAGCAGTGTCCGAAACTGCCCGCCAGCCTCCTTCCTCCCGTCGCTGCCCCTGAGCCCAGCCGGGGGCCGGGGCGGCCCGAGCCGCCCGATGAGCGGGGCCGGCCCGCGGGGGAGTCTGGGGGAGGGGGCTCGTCCCTGCCTGGCTGATGCGGGGACAAACACCGCGGCGAGGAGGATTAAGGTCCCGGGGCGCAGCGCTCGGGGAGGGGGCGCCGGCACTTCGGCGGGAGCCGCCTATTGAGATGCAGATTGCGACCCTTGGCCCCGGGGGGACGGGGCCTTTCAGGGAGATGCTAATGGCAGAGCGCAGCAGCCCTTTACCCCCCCGGGGCCGCGGCGGCTGCCGTCGGTGCTGCCCCTCCCGGTGTCCCCCGCCCGGTGCGGGCCGAGGGCGCGCTCCCCCCGGGGCAGGTGCCCGGCTGGGGCCGCGGGGGCGGTGGCGAGTAGGCGGCCCCGGAGCCCCCCGCGGCCGGGGCGGGGTGGGGTGGGGGTGCAGCCCCCTCCTCCTGGTGGCTGTTGGGATTTGGAGGAGGGGCCGGCTGCCGTGCAGGGGAGGGGAGGCGGCGGGCGCGGCGGTCGCTGCGCGGACGCGGGCGGCACATGGCCGGTGGCCGCGGCGAGCCCTGTGCCCGCCCCCCGCCGCCCCGCCGGGGCGCACGGACCGGCGATCCTCCTCCGCACGGCGCATCCAGGCAAGAAAATCCGGGAGTTTGACTGAACCTGCATTTCCATTAACTCAGCCTCAGCCCCGGCTAATCCTCAGCACTGAAGGCAAGGAGGCTAATTAATGACAAGCTTTTACAGTCAAGACCAGCGATAATTGCTTTGGTGGCCTTTATGATTACAAGATAAAAATGGACCGGGCCTGACATAAGAGCCACTGTGTACACTGCAAGACAGGAGGAAATTAAGAGCTGGCTAGCTGAATACGGAGCAGAAAATTACTAATAGAGGAGAGATAATGAATAGGCCGGCTAGGCATTCATGGGGAAAAATCCATTTTGTTACCACGCGAAATTAGGTGGTGGAAAGGAGTTTGCTAATTGTTCTCGTCTTGTAGCAACCAGGACTGAGGCAGGGGCGTGCTTTTCAATTCATTTCCTTGGTAATTGTGAAAGGGGGAATGCAGGCCAAATGAGTCTTGCTGCAATTTGCGCGCCTGGTCTTTTCATTTTCATGTTGCGTTTTTAATTGTTGCTAATATAGCTTATAATGAAGCTAATGATGGGAAATTATTGTACAACTTTTTAGCTCATGGAGACGAGTGAAATGCACTAGAAGGATTCTCTCCTATTGCTGCAAAAATAATAGTAATCTGAAGGAGTTTGGAACTATCGGGTTTTTTTTTTAAGCCGCTTCCCTCTACAACAGACAAAAGGAAGGATCGCCACCTACTTTTTTCTCTTTTTTCTCCTGTGTTTTATTTTTCACTAAGAAAAAAACAATACCGGATTTTCCCTCGCTGCGCCCCTCGCAGCGCCTGGCGCTCGCTGCGGTGCGCGGGGGGTGCGGAGCCGCGGGGCGCTCCGCGGTGCTTGCGCGCATCCAGCGCCTCCGCCTCTCGGTAGTTACGGGCGAGCCGCCGGAGGGGAGGGCACGGAGCGGGGCACGGCGGCGGTCCCGTCCGTCCCCCTCTGTTCGCCTCCCTCCCCGGCCGAAAGTTAGGGCTGCCGGGTGTTCCCCCCCGACGGGATCCCCCCTCCGCGCTGCTCCGTGACCGCGCAACTCAGGCGCTGCCTCTCTCTCCTCCCCTGCAGAAAAGCAACGTCCCGCCGCTCGCGCAGCGCGGGGAAGAGGCAGAGTCCGCGAAATTCCTCCTCCTCACCCTCCTCTCCCTCGCCTGCATCGCCGGGGTCCTGGCGGCGTCGGGGGTCGCCTACTGCCTCCGCCACCGCGCCCACCACCGCCTGAAGGAGAAGCTCTCTGCCCTGGGGGCTGACGCCGGCTCCGATGCGCCCGCTGCTTACCAGGTAAGGACCGAGCTCTCCTCCTCCGGCCCTGCCCCGCTGCCCGGCAGACCCCCGGGGAGACCCTGCTCGTCTTGGGAGTCGCGGGGGTGGGTTTGTTTCCGACGCTTTCCCCCCGCCCCCGTTCCATTCATAGTCCCGAGGATTCGGTGTAGCAGCTTTTTACTACTGGCTATTAATCTTGGCTATTCTGGTAGCTGCAGTAAATTCGTGCTTAATTAGAAACATTAAAAAAAAAAAACGAAAAAGAAAAAAAGCAGCACTCGCCATTGAAATTCTCAGAAAAATAACATTAATATCCATAATCTGTCACCCCTGCCACTATTAATAACGAAAAATCTTTAACATTTATGAGGAATGGATTGCACGGTTATCTGAAGATGTCTCTCTTTTTGAGTAATCGACTTCTTCAGGGTCTGATATGAAAAGAGCCTTTGACCCGATCTGTTGCCATCTTGTGCCATTATTCAGATAAAATGAAATCTAATGCTGATAGATGGGAGGTAAACCAGGACTGGTTCTAGGAGAACAATGATAGCAGATGTGTATCCAGTAATGCTGGAGGACTGCACTCAGCTTCTCAGAAATAAATCAGAAACCTCAAGCTTTCTCTTTCAGTTTCAAAAGTGTTGGGTGGAGAGACACTGCATCTTCCTGAAGTTTGTTTTAGATCATATGGCACTTATTTCTTGGTGTGCTGTTGGTGTGGTAGTGCATGTGTTATGGTCATATATCAGACAGCTGTGGTCTGCTATCCAAAAATATTTGGAGTGTGACCAGGAAAAAGAATCTGAGAATGTGTAAACATTGTTTCTGTAGTATCTCTGTCTGTTGTGCACCCATAGGGCCTCACTAATGGCACTTTTCTGTCAAGTTTTATTTTACTTTCTTGTCCTGCTTAGGATCAGACATTCTGGCCTTTCTGTATCCTGGAGCTGAGATAGATTCAAATTGGCAGCTGAGAATCATATGGGAATAAACTCATATTTCCTCACAAAGTTTGGGTTTGTCTGTACCTCTTAGATGTTAAAGATGTAATGTATTAAGTATATCTCCACAGGCTGGGTCTAGAGAGAATTAAGTACAGAATGATAAATATTAATGTTTCTGTAACAATTAGTGTCTTCAGGAATGGTTTTGGTTTTTACTTTAAAAAAATGTTTACTTTTAAAAAAAAAATCATTAAATTACATCTTTGTATTTAATGACTTCCAAAACAAGACAGAGTGAGAGCAAGAACATTTCCTGTAAACAAAAAAAAAGGAGTGTTCTCTGGGATAAAGTGTGAACAAAACAGCAGTTTATCAGTTTTGTTGGCCAGTGAGACTGTGGCCATAAATATTTTTGTTTGATTTTAATAGGTGACTTGCTGTTGGCTTATTTAAAGCACAGAAGCAATAGGTAGGCTTTTTTTCTTCCATTAATTGTGAATACAGGAATTCTTAATTTTTTTGAAAAGCCCTCCAGGTTCCAAAACTACACTTGAAACTGAATTTGTGATAATTAACAGGACAATCTTCCTACTGACAGCTCTAATTAATAGTATCTGTAATTAAAATCGTGCCCTTCCAGCAGGAAAATTGTTTGAATTTCTTGGAGTGACCTTTTTTGCCATTTCTCCTGGGAGTGTAGTGGTTGATATTGATTTTATAATGAGCTCAGTTTGTTTAATAAGAATCTGTAATCCAGACACTGAATGAAATGTGTGCTTCCTTTTTTCTTCACAGATTTATATATATTTTTAAATATTCATATTTAGATCCGAGAATGACATTTTCTGTTTTAAAAACAACAACAACAATGCTTTGAGGTTGCTGCTCAGTTTTTCAATTGCAAGACTGTATTAATATTCTTTGTTACTGACCTCTGGGCCTAGTCCTAACCACCTGACTTCTTAAACAGTTCCATTGGGTTTTCAGGAGAACTGTAGTCATGAGTGGGAGGAAAAACGTTTTTCCTTAAAAACAAAGGTTTCTAAGAGCTTGGCTCTCCTCCCATGGAAGTAAATGGGAATTCTGCCATTTGTTTCAATGGCAGCAGTAGGAAGCCCTAGTATAGGCAGACAAAATGCTCAGGCAGTTCTGATGCTGCTAAGTAGCATTTTATCAAAATTAATCACTGAGGCTGGGTCTTTATATAATAAACTATTCACATGGATTTGGAGAGAAATAGGATTGAGCCTATTCACTTTGTCAGAATCGCCTTATGTTGAGCTGTGTTAAATGTAATGGATATCTGGTGTGATGTGTGCTTTGGATAACATCAATTAGGTCCCAGAAAGGCATCCACTATCTTTTTCCTCATCTTCTCTTGTAGGGAAATAATGCAACCTATATTAGTATGGGGGAAGGAAAGAAGCAGACAGCTTTCAAAGCTGTACCTACTTGGTTCTCCTCTGTTATATGTTTCCCAAGTAGCCACTCAGTTAACTCAGTGTTTTTTAAAAATATGGAATATTTCAGGGGCTGCTGCCACTAGGTTTAAAGCACGGTACTCGTGTTGCTGCTTACAGCTGACATGACAATTCAAATTTATTTTTTTTTATTTGAATGGGGAGAAATTGGTCGGTATAAAAGGGCCTTGTGGCCCAATATGATTCAGAGAAAACACAGAAATATCACTTTGATTCACATGCTTCTCCAAATGTCAGTGGTTTATATCTTCACATAAACAAGACTGACCTAAATTTTCAGCATTTAGCAGAAGCATTTTTCATCCTAACCCAGTTCAGCCAGGAGAGTTCATTCAGGGTTTTACTCCTTCCTTACTCATCCTGTGAACTTTGAAGAGTTTTTTCCCATGGCTATTTTTTGGGGGGGCTTGGGGGTTTTTTTCCTTCCCTTTCTGTTTGTGCAGTGAAATTCCACCTTGAGAAGGGGAAAACAGACAGACCATATTATCAGGGAAACAGCAGGTTGGCTGCTAAGTCTCCCCCAGTGCTGGAGGCGTTGCACTTGTCATGCAACATCACCCTCCCTCAGGCATGAGCACTCCTTACACTTAGCTACTAACATAAGTATTTCTTGTGTAACTGCGTGAAGAAGGGACCTGTCTTGGGCAGGACAGCCAGTACTGTATAAAAGTTGAAGCAGGCAAATTAAATCACTGCAGTGCTCCTGATAAGCTGCCAAACCTGGTTATTTAGGTGCTGGGTAAAGCAAGCAGCTGGCCCTACAAGTGTTGAAGCAGGGAAACCCTATTGAAAGACTAAGTAACAGGAGGAAGGATAGATACACAATTGCAACTTCAGTTATCTTTGAATCACTAAACGACAAAATTACAGGCTGGTTTAATTAGACAGTAGCTGAGGAGGTATTCAAAATTAATGGAAATAGTGTGGCTTGTAAAATGTTACATTTTGTACATAAAGGCGGACAGTTTTTGTGTCTCTCACAAGCACATCTCCTGTCCTTTCAAACCACACGTGTAATGATTAGATAAGTCAGTGTTAGTATTCAGGGATGACTAAAAAGAGGCTCTTGGTGCCTCCGCGGAGCCCCCGCGCATGCGTGCACCTGCACCCCTGTTTTTAATTGTTGCTGCCATTGCTTTGATCTTCTTGAAAAGCAAGTTTAGCATTCTGCAAGCCCACTCTCTGGTCCAGGAGATTAGGGCAGAAGCGTTTTAGGAATTTTCAGCAGACACTCTTTGATTTATTTCACAGCACTGAGCAGATTTTCTTCATGCACTTTGAAGACTTTAGAACATAACCCAGGGAAAAACGGGCATTCAGGCATCAGGAGCAGGCAGCAAACAGGGCCACTAAGTGCACATCTTACTTGTCACCGCTCCCATTAGCGAGCAATTTATTAATGTAATGAGTGTGTGGTAGTGACTGCTACGATTTAGGGATGCTCTGTTTGATTTGGGGTGATGTATTTGTGAGTCCAGCTGAACCCTGGCTTTTGACCCGTGCGGGGAACGCTGGGGTGTGCATGTTAAATCAGCAGCATATTTTATACTTTGCACTGCAGAACTTTCCTATGAGCATGGTCTTCTGCATCACTGACACTGCTCAGCGAAACCTTGACCATAATGGAATTAAAAGGCAAAAGTTAAAATGCTCTGAAGCTGGCTTCAGCTCGCCTTTTAATATTTTATGTCAATAACATTCTTTTTAATTTTCCTTCATCTCAGCCAAAAGAACTCCCTTTAAAAAGTGAGGAGGAAAAGACCAAACAGTTTACAATGAAGCTCTTTCTTAAACTGCCTGAAGTATTCAAGGTTACATGCAGATGTATTACATCATCAGCTGTTTTAAAAACTTGTCCAATTAACTTGATTTGGCAGGCATATAATTGTAAATTATATGTTAAATTCTACATTATTACATGTATTGTATTATGTATAAATTATATATTTCTTTGTCAAATACAGTCTTATTAATTACATGATCCTGCTGGATTCAAAGCCCCTAAGAACTTCTCCGTGCTCTTACAGATTTGATCCCGCTGGTATTTTTTATTTGAGATGTTAAGAACACACTATTTGCAACAATTACAATAAATATTTTGCTGCAAATATTTTAAAAGGCTCCAACTGAAAGAATCTGCTGGAGACAAACCCTCTACTTAACCATCATGCATGGTTTGTGTGTTTAAATACAGATAACTCATTATGTCTAATATGGCTTAATATTTTCCACTCTAGACTGAAATTCAAAAGCCAGCTTGTTATTATAATATTAGACCTTAATGGTATGGTAATAGTGTATATCAACTCCTTAGAAACTGTAATTTTGTGGACAAAGTAAAACAGGAACAGGGGGGCGCGGAGGAAAATTTTGCTGTTCTTATTCATCAAGTTCTCAGTAATATTCCAATTAACATCACACTTAGTACTAAGGAAAGCTGGTAAATTGGGGGTAATCCATATCATAAAGTATTACCTTCTGTCTTTATAAAACTTAATTTTCAAGGACCCTCATACACTTAAACACAAAGATATCACTGAGGATGAGGTTATTCAGTGCATGAGTATTTAGTAAACAAAATCAGAAGGAA